GCACCACGCCTGACGCCATGCGCATTGTATCAGTGATGCATTCACTTTTACATTCTTAACAAATTATAAGTCCCCCCCCCCCTTTGAAATTTATTTTGGTTTTGTAGAAGCAGGTTTCTCTGCAGTAAGCGCTTTTTTTTGTATAGTGGTGGCAATTCAACAAAATGAGATTGGGAATGTTCTATCTCGAGTACCATCAGTCTTTATTGATCGGAGTCGCCGCTCACAACAATAGCACTGTACAAAGGTCAGACTACATTAATAGGAACTATGCGAAATACTAGCATCACTGTTTTAAACAAGCGAGTTGGCAGACCCATTATATAAACGCATATTGAATGATGCGGTCTTTGTTTATTTACTTCAGTCGTTTTTCTTCCGGAACCCGTAGAAAGCAAACGCTGTTGCCATAGGCAAAGCTCAAACACATGAACAGGTTCGCCTTACGTGACGCATGTGGTGTTTGATAATTGAAACTACATGCGCCATAAAATACGTGTACACACTGGGCATTGAAATAATCAGGCCTGTCTTACGTCATATATCGTGGAACGTGCATTCGCAAAAGTTTGTTGGTATGCCAGCATAAAAAAAATTGCATGGGCAGCAGTTCATTGCCTGCACAGCTGTTTAAGCGTGTACACGGAATTCCACACTCAATGAGAATTGCGTACGCTGCGAAACATGCGGCTAAGATGATTTTGCCATGCGCATTAGTTTGAGAAAGAAATATAGTGAAGCCGCTTTTTCTAGTCTAGTGGAATTTCTCGCCACACACAAAACAGGCACGAGGTCTAGATACCCAGCACATAATTTCCCCAAATATGTAAAATGTGCCTTCGGAGCATTTAAACTACCCGCTACGTCATAGGAACATTTACATGCCTTTCCGTTCCAGCTGCAATGTTTGGCCTGTACCATATTTCATGCAATGTGAAGTGGCGCATGACAGCCACTTCACATTGACTTTTTTTCCACACAAAATAACAACAGGTGAAAATGTCACCACCAAATACACGCTACATTGTCAATAAGTTTCTTGGTTTAATGTACAATATACACTGATGAATTCAAACGCGACATCAGTTTTCTTTGTGTAACGACATAGTAGGTGCAGCTGCTCGAGATAACGACGTCATTATGTTACCATTGTTGTTTACTTTGCGCTAAATGCGTTTACTTTGCGCCAAATAGATACACGTCTGGCGGCGAAAGCTTGAGGTTGGCGCCACGGCTACTTTAGCGTACTGCGCACTTCAATTTTTGCGCATTTAGTAGCCATTTTGCGTAATATTTAAGAAGGAAATACCGAGAAAGACTAAATAATACAAATTTGTTTATTCAACCTTTCATGAAGTGTCAGCCGATGCATTTGCATGTCACCCCCCCCCCCCCTTGCAGTCTGTGGCTCCTTAAACCAATTCAACGTAACGCGTGGCTGGTCTGCCAAGACATGAGGTTCTTGCTCATCTAGTCAGTGCGACACATCTACTTGTTAAGATTGGCCAAGAATTTTGTAGTTTTATGAATTTAAACAAAACACTGAGTCAAGAAGAGACGCAGTTTAAATGGCAAGTTAAATATGAAATCTGAGTGCACCTTTAGACTAATGTGTAACTAATGTAGTTCCAAGCATGGTTGCAAATGGGTGGCTAGCACACTGTTAACGCTTCCGCCATCGATGTTGACACTACAAGCCAGTCGCTAACGCTGACGCACAGCGCGTGTTAATACTCGTGTAAACTTCGGGAAAACAGGAATGCACTATACAAAAATTACGCTGAACTGGTCCTCCTCAAGTATCACAACTTGAAGCTCGACTGGCATCAGGGTAAATACACCGATAATTTTTGTGCGCGAATTTAATCCCAAGAAACCAAACTTCAGCATCTACAAATATTGTTCCAACTTAATGGTTGGCTTCAATGTTCAAGTTTTAGACTGTCGCGTTTCTCAGTTACTCTACTGAACATGGACCATGTGCAAACGAACAGATCTTATAATAAAAGCCGGAACTTTGGCTAATTGGTTTTGGCTTGAATACATAATGTATCTGAATACAACAATGACAGGGTTATCTTGTATAAATCTTTCTCTGTGCTTCCTTTGTGCCGCTACGTTATGTACTAAAGTCAATACCAACTAAAGCCCAAGTTTCAGCTTCAACTGTAAGAATTTCTAATTGTGTGGGCCCTGTTCTTCATTTCCCTTAGTGCCCCTTCCCTTCTGGAACCTACGTGTCGCCATTGCCAGTGGTCGCAGTTGTCCTTTCTGTATCTTTGCCGTTGTTTTGTGCCGCTAAATTACGTAATAAAGGAATTTAGAGTTTGTTGATTGATTTGCAATTTGCTTGTGACTTGAAGACCAAGCAAAAAAATAAAAGTGCTTTTTTTTCTACTTTAGTGTAGATTCGAAATGATATCACTTATTGTTCAATATAGAAAATTCATACTAGTGCCGCGTTTCTTCTGTTTGACTGTAAACTTGGCGCTAAGAGTGTATTGCTTGCCTACTTTAGCTACGTTTAGCTCTAATCCATGCTCTTTTTTTTAATCTAACTAAAGGCAACCCTGCACGTCAAGTAGCGTAGAGTCCGCCCTCTAAATATAATGTTGCCTCAGATTATTGTGTTGCAGTCAAAATTAATTCAATGTGACCCGACCCCATAGCGGTGGAAGCTAAATCCTGTGCGTTTGCCTAAAATAGTTCTTTTTCAATCCATGTGTACTGTACAACGTGAAGGAGTACTAAAGAGGCAGCGCCATACCCCTGAAATTCCTTGTTAACTAATTCATGAACACTACATTGTCCTCCCTTCGAAAGAGAAAGCACAGACAAATGTGGTGATATATGCACCGATTGCGAATGCTGAATTACCGACTGCGTCAACCGTTACAATATGACCTTGATCAACCGATTTCACATACACATCAGTTCATTAGTCATTCAGGCGTGCAAAACACCGTGAAATTTTCGTTAAATTCGAATATTATTGGTAACATGTTCGTATGCATGCATCACTGCACCGTATGTGGACGCGCACTGGCCTGTTAAGCAAACATCTACAGTGTACCTTTGAGTAAACATAAATGCTAAATTACGTGGTAAATCCAACCTATCATCGTTGCCGCAGCTATATACGATGCAAATTATCTTGGCAATATATACAGGAGCAGGAAATGCTTGATTAGAAGTTGGGCAACCTGTTCATATTTTTGTGTGTGTGTTGCTAAGAACTAAACTGCTGATTATCACTTCTAATTATTATTTTTTAGAGGCGGGCAACTACTTTGCCTAATGTCAATGTACCAAGAAGTTCATTTTAGTCTTCTTGGAAGTGGGCGCAAAAAGACAAGGATGAAGGAAAGAAAGTACATACACTACTAGCGCTACTGACAACAACAACAACAAAAAACGTTTTTGCAGTAGCGCCAGTGTTCGTGTTCCTTCTCACCTTGACATTTCGTGCCTATAACAAAGAAGCATGACAGACCAACCCGCCCGTATGGCTACCTTCGCTTTAGTCGCCGTTGTTTTCGCTCCCATAAAAATCAAATCGTCATTGGCTGAGGTTGAACACCTCGGCGATGAATACCTCACAAGCTTTTGCCGGCAGCTCCCTATAACGTGCACATAGTTCGGTAGTCTACTATTATTGCGCATGGATGAGATTGCGAATGTTCTGTCTATGTTTATAGAAATGCTCCTTCAAGGATACGTAGAAAGTAGCAGTAATGGAAGCGAGTAGCATGTGTACTTATTTTTCGTTCGACCTCACAGGGTGCAAATCTAATTACTTTCAATCATTTAATACTACACGCATCAAATGGTGAATGAGTGGAGCAATCGATGTGTTGGCGCACTCTCGGAGGATAATATATAGGCGCTAAAAATAAATTGCCAAGACAGCGTAGCAGATCAATGAACTGATCTTACTTAACTCACTCTATCAGCGAGAAGTCCAACAAAAGATTGACCACAAATTACTGGAAGACTACGATGCTCGGTCGTCAATAGTCCAGTTGAGCAGGTTATATGTTCCTTCAACAATATTCATTCTTCTTCCCTTTCCGTTAGTAGCTTGGTCACTACCTTATGGCTCTACCAAACTCGAAAAAGTGAGTTTGATTGCCAGCTTTGGCCGCCTTACTTTCATACGGCTGAGGTGCAAACAAAAAAAACACTTGTTTACCTGAATTTAGGTGCATCTAAAGAATCAAAGGTTGTTGAAATTATTCTAGAGTCTCTTACTATGGCGTGCCTCCAAATGACATTGTTCTTTCGTTATGTAGAACAAGGTTTACTTACTTTAACAACTTCTCCAGGCACGACCATTAATAAACGCGGACTTTCTCGCTATCTGTCATTGATCATCGGCGCGCGTAATCCCGGCCATCGGACTTTCTCGCTATCTGTCATTGATCATCGGCGCGCGTAATCCCGGCCATCTCAACAAGAAACAATGCTACACTACCTGCTCAGCTAAATTGCTAGACGAACCATATGGGTATGGTCCTTCAAGAGAAACGCAGTGTCGTATGGCTTTTCCGCTGAGCAGAAAGTGACTGATTGCGCTTCATAAAGATTTCTACCACCTGAGCAAACAGTCTATAGGTCTTCAAAATCAGTAGAATCATTGCCACACAGAACAGTAGCAGTTGGAGACGAAATGCATAAAACATTAGGCGTACCGTATCCATCTGAACACGATAGCATTAACACCGGGGTGGTCTAAAATTTTGTTTTCACCAAACAGGCCATGTTTCATGCCCCTTCTGAATCCTAGTGTTCTACGACGCTTCCTTTTTGGTGTGTTTGTGAGCTGTTCACTTTTCAAAGCACTATGCCAGTTCGACAAGAAACGACGCCTGTATCTTCGCCGACGACTTCAATGACGACGTCCTCGGCAGGACTAACGTGATCGCCCTTCAAGGCTTGCGCCTCCGGTGGCGGCAGCGGAGCGGGTCCAGCGGCTGCAGCGGCGGCGATGCCAGCCTGCGTCACAGGCCCAGAGCAGCCGCGTGTTTCTGAGCCTTCAGTCGCAAGTCGGCGATGCTCGAGTTCTTGGTCGTGAGTCTCTCGGCCGCCATTAGCGCCGTGGTCAAGCCACCAGGAAATGGCATGTGCGCCGGGTAGAACAGCAGGCTCGCTGCAGCGGCTGCCGCCGCGGCCGAAGAGGGCGGGGGAGGCACGGGTGGTGGCGGTGGAGCGTGGCCCGACGCGACGGCAGCAGCCGCTGCTGCAGCAACGGCCGAGTAGTGATGGGCGGCGGCGAGCAGTCCCGTGGGGTCGGCGGCGTAGGGAAGGAAGGTTGCCGCTGCGGCCGCGGCGGCTGCAGCAGCAGCGGCCGTTCCGCCGCCTCCTCTGGCACCTGCCGCCCCACTGACGGCAACTGTGGCGGCGGCGGAATGCGGCGGCAGGAACAAGCGTTCCGACGGGTGCCTGGTTGCTTGTGCTGGTGGTGGTGGAGGGGGAGTCGCGCTGACGTTGATGTAGGGCGCGATGCGGGAGGACTCGATCGGCGTGCTGGTCGCCATCATGAGGCCTGCGGTCAGTGGAAAGACAATGATCAGCAAACAAGGGGGAGCGACATAAAAGAGAATTTTCATATAGAGATAAGGAATTAGTTTCATTGGCTCACCCATGCGGTAGAACATTTACTATTGGCACATGGGCTTGTCCCACTAAGGTCGCAAACAAAAAAGCAGATGAGTACTCAGATATATTTGAATACGATGGTGATTGATACTGGTACAGGTTGCGCTTAACTTTTTAAGAACAATTGACGTGCAACAAAATTGTCGGTGCAATCATTAGTGTTTCTCTTCTGTTTCGGACATATTTGCCGTTATTAGGCAAGTAGATAAGACAGATGCTTGGGCTAGTTGGTGACTGGCAAACAACATATTTGCACAGCGCAAGACTACGAGTAGTTACGATGTAACTACAGAAGAAGAGACAAGGACAGAAAGAGCGCTGACTTCAACTGTAATTTTAATAGCGAAAACGCTGAAAATATACTCGTGACAGAACATCACTGCGCAATCGCGCAACCTATTGCATCACAGCAAGACAATCATCTCATTATGTGGCTACAACACCACAGCTCAGCACAAAATTCACGAACTATTGTGTCAAAGCCAAAAACTCGATTTCTTTTTCAGTCAGAGCAAGCAAGGCATGCTAATACATCGATCACCCACCATTTGTAATTCATTGGCCTCCAAAATCTCTTGTGTTAGCTGCTGACGGTGTTTGGCTGTAACAGTGCACTTTTCAAATTCTGGTCTGCAACCATCACACAATCTCTAAAATGGATGCCGAAATGACCATGCACAGCTGAGTATACATTGTAATGGTGCTCCTTTACACGTTCATTCAGGCACAGACCCGTCTGCCCAACATATATCTTGCCACATGACAACCGGAGCAAATAAACGACGGCTATCACACGTGCTACGAATGGCCTTTTATGTTTGATTGTGCAGGAGCCAATTCGTGTGGACTGCGCATTCACCCGTTTGCAGAGCGCTGAAAGCTTTTCTAGGGCAGAGAAAACCACCTTGACATATACTTTATCACATTTTTTCTTTCGAATTGTGAGATATGCTATGTAGAAAGGGAGCCACGCGCTTTGAGCCATTAGTCACGCAGTTCAATGGCGCTTCTCGTCCTTGTTTAATTGTCCTAAGCAACAAGATACAAGATAAGCTAAACTTGCTGACCACCAACGACCCTTTTCTAGTGAGAAATTGTAATGACAATCTACTACTACATGACACGCTACTACGGTGCGTTGACGACTACATTGACAATTTTGGTTCAGTTGCGTTCCAGAATGCTGCGGGCATAACGGTCAGTGACTTTCTTGAGCACGTTGGCTTTTACTTAATGACAACGTTCGTATCATAGAACGAAGGCACTTTTAATCAGAAAAAAGGAGTGTGCATCGGTTCATGCATAGCACATGTTTTAAAGTACATTCTTCTCGCTCACCGTGACAGACTCTTGGCCAGTCGCCACAACAGAACGGCTGCCGTAAAGGTGTTTCATTTTGTTGACGATTTTCTTGTGCTTTTATACTGCGATGATCGGGGCTTCGAAGCCGTCGTTTCGAACATATTACGTCTTTTCGATGAGTGCATGGCACTTCTTATTCTGACGCATGAGCTTCCACAGGATGCTTCGTTAAGGTTTTTAGATTTGAGATTAAACATCTCAAGCGATCACCTTTGCTGAAAATATGAGCCTAGAGGAAGCAAACCTCTTCTACCATACTTGCCGGCTCATTCAAAGTTCGTATAGAAAGGAATCGCTAGTCATTGTTTAAGAAATGCCCTCTGAAAGTCTTGAGGCCACTAATTAATTAGCAGCTTCGTCGAGCGGGTTTCCCGTCTGATCAGCGCTGGTTTCGGTGGCAGAAAAGTTGCTTAGGAAAATTAAACAGGGACGAGAAGCACCAGTGAACTGCGTGGCTAGTAGCTCAAAGCGCGTGGCTGTGATTCCCTATCTACATAGCATTTCTCACAGTTTGAAAAGGATAGGTGATAAGTTAGATGTGAAGGTGGTTTTCTCTTCCCCAGAAAAGCTTTCAGCGCTCTGCAAACGGGTGAATGCGCAGTCCGTACGACGGAGCTGCTGCACAATCAAACATAGAAGGCTATTCATAGCACGCGTGATAGCCGTCGTTTATTTGCTAAGGTTGTCATGTGGCAAGATATATGTTGGGCAAATGGTTCGGTGCCTGAATGAGTGTTTAAAGGAGCATCATTACAATGTATACTCAGCTGTGCATGGTCATTTGGGCCTCCATTGTAAAGATTGTGGTTGCAGACCGGAATTCGTAAAGTGCACTGTTACAGCCAAACACCATCAGCAGCTAACACGAGAGATTTTGGAGGCCAATGAAATACAAATGCTGCGTGATCGATGTATCAGCATGCTTTCGCTTGCTCTAGCTAAAAAAGAAATTGAGTTTCTGGCTTTGACACAATAGTTCGTGAATTTCGTGCTGAGCTGTGGCGTTGTAACCATACTTGCTGTGATGCAATAGGTTGCGCAGTGATGTTCTGTCATGAGTATATTTTCAGCGTTTTCGCTAATAAAATCACAGTTGAAGTCAGCGCTCTATCTGTCCTTGTCTCTTCTGTATAGTTATGTCGTAACTACTCGTAGTCTTGCACTGTGCAAATATATTAGGCAAGGCAATTCGAGCACAAGATCATTAGCCACTTCATGTCTACTACAGCTTTGTTATTAATGCCCTAAACACTTTGGCGATTCCCCATTCGAGCAGGTACTTCTCTGATTCGTATGTAAGAGCACGCAATTTTCAGTCAGTAAGTTGGTACTCCTCAGCAAACCAACACACTGTCATACTTTTTCAGTAGATTGGATTAGTATTTTCTCGGGCGATTTTTTTTACGTATCGATATAACTGCCAATCTGTACACTGGTTTACCCGCTGTGTTGCCAGTTGAGGCCATGGAGAAAAACAGCTGTCGCTCGATATCGCCTTACCGGAAATGCATGTTGACAATGCTTGCCCTTCTACTTACTTCAGGCACAGTTTAAGTAACGGATAGAAATGTTTCAAAGCTCGAATGCAGAAACTTCAAGCATCGCAACTCTGCTACTTCGAGAGCGGTCTTACGCAGTGCCACGTTCTAGCAAACATTAGGCCCACCGTGCCGGTCACATCGGTGTACATGTTACCGGCTCTTCCTGCTTTAAATACACACAATTCTAATAGTGTTAGATCAACTTTATAGTTCAGACATCTGTCGACCTAAGTAAACCATTTTTCCTTGCGTGTGGTGTGCCCGAACAAGGAGTGACGGCGATCCATGTGTCGTGCTTTCAGCTACGCAGGATGTCACCGAAAGCTGCCGGGCGCAGTAGCTGGTACTTCTTTGACTCGTATGTAAGAACAGGCACTTTTCAGTTGAAAAATTGGTAGGCCTTATTGAACTAACACAATTTCACACTCTTTCAGTGGATTGCATTAGTATTTCCTTGGGGCGGTTTCTTCAGTTGTAGGTATCGATATAACTGCAAGTATGTACACTGGCACGCCCGCTGCCATAACGTCACTTGCGCGATAACACTACCCAATATTCAGTCGTGTACGCACATATGCGTCTAACAAGTCATCATTAAGCGTCTTTACATGTTGAGCAATAGCAAGATCGTGAAACGGCTATTAAAAAAGATGGCAGTAGCAGGCGGCAATCTATGACTGCTCCGGCAAACCTGTTTGAATTTTTTTTTATTTAAGATGAGAATCCCTCAAAAACTTCAAGCCCTTGCAATATACGCACGCCATTCGGTGCCCAACAGCCATTAGTTAGTTTCAAATAAAGACGCACTTGTCATTTGGAAAGGAATATCGCGACTACATATGTTGACTGTGCGACTTGTAAAATATGAAGCCAAAGGGCATGTTCATTGCATAAATAGTCATTTTACTAGTCGCTGGACACCATCTGGTGTGGTGGAGAGGGTAGAGTACTCGGTTGGGAACACGATGGGAATCAGAAAGTGGCGAGTTGTAATCTTCTAGGCAGACGTTTTTTTTTTTTTTTTTATGCGTCAATGCGCTCTATATGATTTATTTCAGTGATATATTTATTCATGATGACTACGCACCCCCGCTTTAACGCTGCACAGCCGTTTTGCGCTCTGTACCCAGCACCTCCCAGTGACATGCCGCTACATCTTCCCAGTATGTAGCGCTATAATGGGCTCATAAAACGGCATGGCACTAGATGCTGGTGCCCAGTGGCGCTAGGTTTTGCAATAGGTTTTTACACAAGCGTGGTGTAAATATGCGTACGAGTTTCCCTCTTATTGCGAAATCTGGAGCGCAGAAGTATGTTCTACTCCCATGTGAAACGGGTGCGGTGGGAAAAGACTCACGCGTACAAAATACGTTATGTGCAAAGTGAAGGTTTCTTTTAGTTTTGTCAGTGTCCCTTGGGATACGCACCTTCAGAGTTATCCTGCCGATGAGAACATCTGTTTAACATGCACACTGCTTTATTGCCACAAAGATTTTACGACTACGTGGGGCCTAATAAATTCGAAGGATTACTTAGCAAACTTCGGCGACTTTTAGCGGGTGTCTATCTATCTATCTATCTATCTATCTATCTATCTATCTATCTATCTATCTATCTATCTATCTATCTATCTATCTATCTATCTATCTATCTATCTATCTATCTATCTATCTATCTATCTATCTATCTATCTATCTATCTATCTATCTATCTATCTATCTATCTATCTATCTATCTATCTATCTATCTATCTATCTATCTATCTATCTATCTATCTATCTATCTATCTATCTATCTATCTATCTATCTATCTATCTAGCTGCCTACGACTTTTAGCTTTACTGGCTGTTTCGATAATGGTATCAATACCAAAATTTGTATGACAGAACATGACTGTATGACGAACATAAGAAACTAGTCACAAGATGAGAACTAGGACATGTATGTCATGAATGTCAAGATATACATTTCTTCGTCTTCCTGC